CATCATCCCGACCTTCTTTACCAACACCACCATCATTAACATCATCACCACCACCATCACTCCCCCTCATCGTCATCATCATACGCACGCGTATCCTCGGCATCACCACCATCACCACCATCACCATCAAAAACACCATCATCAACAGCAGCAGCATCATCTTCGTCGTCGTCATCATCACCAGCACCACCATATCCATCATCATCATCATCCATGCCATCATCAGAATCGTCATCACCATCGCCACCATCATCGTGATCAGTTTATTACCAGCACCATCATCATCACCACCACCATCACCATCAGCATCATCGTAACCATCATTACTACCATCACCATCATCATCATCATCATCATCCCAGTTATCAGCATCGTCATCATCACCATCACCATCATCATCACCACCACACCCTCCATCATCATCATCACCACATCCTGATCATCGGCATCCCCGTCTTCATCGTCATCTTTATCATCATCGTAATCATCACCATCGTCCGCGCACCCACCACCAATATCATCATCATTAGCATCCGCATCCTCAGAACCCTCACCCTCCTCATCCAGATCCTCATATTCATGCGTATCCTCGTTATCACCATCAGCAAAAGCATCATCATCATGAACCTTCGTCGTCAACATCATCGTTATCATCAGAAGCATCGCCATCGCCGTCATGATCATAACCCTCGTCATTTTCCCCATCACCATCTTCGTCATCCGTTTCATTCTCCTCCTCCTCATCATCATGTTCAGCAGCATCATCACTACCACCACCAGAAACATCACCATCACCATCACCAGCGCCATCATCAACATGATCATCAGAAACACCATCGTCATCATCATCATCATCACCATCATCATCACCAACATCCACAACAACGTCATCCTCACCATCATCGCCATCACCGTCACCAACACCATGGCCGTCGCCACCATCGTCATCATCATCAGCAGCATCACCGTCATAATCACCATCATCATCATGATCATGATCATGATCATGATCATCATGATCATCATCGTCATCCTCATCGCCACCCTCATGCTCATCCTCAGCCGTCGTCGCCGTCGGGAAGGGGGGAGCGGAGGGGAGGAACCAGAACGAGGCCCCCCCGCCGCCGCCGCCCGACTGGGGCGACTGCCAGGGGCGACTGCTCTGGGCGACTGCCTGGGGTGACTGAAGCGACTGCCGGGGGCAACTGCGACTGCAGGGGGCGACTGCTGGGGGCAACCGCCGACGCCGTCTGGAAGGCGAGCGTGAGCAGAAACATAAACGAGGCCCCCCCACCACCACCAGCACGCGACGTCAACGTCCACCATCGCCCTCGCCTCCCTTGTCGCCTGATTCGTCTTCGTCGTCGTCCTCCCTCCTCCTCCTCCTCCTCCTCCTCCTTCTCCTCCTCCTCCTCCTCCTCCACCTCCTGTTTTCCCTCCTCCTCCTCCTCCTCCTCCTCCTCCTCCTACCTTTTACTTAACTTGGCGACCTGATCCTCTGACACGGGCCGCGCGGCGCATTGGCCACCAAACCAAACCAATGGGTCTCGGGGGCCTCAGATCGTCTGCCTGGGCACCGGATTTTATATAATAATAATAATAATAATGATGATAATATTAAAAATAATATTACTAATAATAATAATAATATTATTAATAATAAAAATAATAATAATAATGATGATGATAATAATAATGATAGAAATGATAATAATAATAATATTATAATAATAATAATAATAATAAAAATAATAAGAATAATAATAATAGGAATAACAATAATAATAATAAACTGGCAAAATCTGCGGATCCAGGACATTCACGAGACTCATGACACCTCTGGTGTTGTCTCGGGTTTGCACAAGGAGCTAAGCTTCTGGAAGCTACTGGCACCGTGCCCCCGCAGACCACACACCAATCCACTCCCTCGAGAACTTTGGCTCTGTGGCTGCGATGCCAGTCCGTCGGGTATCCGACACGTGGCCTGGCCAGCCACGCCGATCGCTCGTTTGGCTCTGGCTCGGACTGGCGAACTGAACGCGAGACCCTGCCCATCGCATCTCTGACGACCGGGTTGGACGAGCCTTTTGCTGCTTTTGCTGCTGCTGCTGCAGCGGCCGGTCTCGTCTCCCCCGCCCGCGCCTTGGCCTCGCGCTGGCGGTCCTGACTCGACGACGCGCCGTAGGGGGGGGCCGCCTTGACCATCGCCGTCGCGACGGCTAGGAGGTGGCCGTGCACTCTCCTCGCCTTCTCGTCCACCTGGAGAATGCGAGCGATGTCGTGACCTGGGAGTTGGGCCTGTCGGGCGCCTCGTTCGCTGCCTCATCAGCCAAAGAGTTCGCTAGCCAGTGCAAGGGGTTCGCCCGCGCATCCGCGGCCTCGAAGGAGTAGTGGTCCCTCCGTCGCTTTAGATGCCTCTGTCGCAGCCACTAGCTCAGAACTAGGAACAATCTGCTCCCAGTGCAGTCCCACCCGTCGAACACCACGAATCCCCACCCACATCAGCGGATCCGAACGTCTTCATGGTACTTGCCTCCAGAACCATCAGAGGCGCTGCAGCGGTCAAGCTGGGAAGGGCGAGCTTCTCTCCACCTGCAACGGTTCCTCCTAGGACTCTGATGCCTTAGGTTGGCCGCGTCGCAAAAAGGGGGGCCCACAACACTGGGACCAGGCCTCTAAGCCAAAAGCAAGGTGCCTCGTCTTGGCCCTCGAGGGTTTCCTGGAGCAGGTCTAGGACCAGGCCTTCCAGGCCATCGTTCCCAGGGCACTTCCAAACCTGGTGGACAAAGGGTCTCCTGAGGGGCCCCGCACGAGCTGACATCCGCGGTCCTCTGAACTTCCTGTCTTTCAAGGAAAGCAGCTGGCGGTTCTTCCCAGAGGTCCTGGTCCTCCTCTTGGTCTTGCCGAGCCATGCCCAAACGAACAAATCCTCCTTCTCCTCCGCATCCAGACCGCCGTCTCTACCATGCGACAGCGGCTCCTCGGCTGAAGGAGGGGGCCGCGCGGCCTCTATACCAAAACGTCCACTGCCTGGCCACAAGGCCCCTTACACTATGGCGAAAAAGGCCTGCGGTGTCGTGTTGGCCTTTTTTCAGATGCGCCGTTTTCTGCCGATTGACTGTGGGATCGGGGCCGTGTTACAAACCTTTGCCTTTGAAGTGTGCAATCGCGAGCTGCCAGGCTTGCTGATCCAGGGCTCCATACAGCACGCATTCAGACATCATGTGTGGGTCTGTGTTCTCCAGATCGAACTGTACTTCGTCTGGGTCCTGCCACGCTGTCGGGGAAAGCGGCATCCAGCCTAGGTCAATGAGCGCGGCTACGATAGCCGACAGTGTCCCCTTGACCTTGCCCCATCGATTCTTGGTGCTCTGCAAACTCGAGACTGCTGTTTTCGGGGAGACGTAAGACCCGGGTACGGGGGACTCGGAAATCCCCGACGAGGTCGTCAAAAAAATGACGAGGCCGAGCCTACATTTTGACGAGGCCTCCCGCTGCAGACATCCCACGAAACTCCTCCTCGTCAAAATCCGAGTCGCGGTCGTCAAAAAACGATGGCGAACCCGAGTCCTGGCAAACCCGGGTCTTACGCTCCCCCGATTTTTCCATGCGATGACCAAAGCATGCTGGTGAGTGCTAATTAACAGTGGGTGGAGGCCGATCCACTTCTTGACCACGTGCAGCCTGCCAAACACCATCGGGTCCTGGTGGGGCAGTGGGAAGACCGTTCGGATCGTGGTCGTCGCGCCGCCTCCTTCCTTACTGAAGGGGCCCTGGGACACACAAATAAATACACACAAATAAAAAGATTCCCCATATTTTCCTATATTTTCTGGGTTTTTGTCTTCCCCCCCAATTCCCATATTTTCCCATATTTTCTGGGGAATCGACGATTAATTGTGTCTGTGTGTTTTTTCCCCTCCTGACTTACGGCCCACCACGCCCGAGATCTGCGCTCCCATGCGAAGCAAGGTGGAGGGGGCCACCCCTTGGGCCTCTACTCCCCAGGCGCTCTGCGGGATAAAACCTGCTTTCGCCGAGGATTTGACGACCCTGGTGTTTTTTTAACTACACTCATAATGAAGGCGTCCCTGCTTCTGATTTCTTGCATGCGCTTTTGGCTGCCCTGACATTCCTACGATGAGATGTGCCGTCTATGCCAAGGTCCTCGTCGACAAATTGGGACCGCTTGAGCTGAATATTACTGCCTAGCCTACGCTGGATCTCACCTGCTATCCTGGGCGAGTTACTGACGATCGTGCTTTTACTGGAAATACGCAAACTTAAAGCCTGACAGTGCTTGGCAAAGGCCTGGATGGCAGCAACAATTTTGTCCATTACCACTTCCTTCTTGCCCACTGCAAACTGGCTGAGCTCGAGGCCCCCCCCTGGACCAGCGTTTCATCCCAAGTCGTTTCTGTTGGGCGGTCCTGGGGCCTGGTGAGGGTCCCCCACAAGCCGAAAATTGAGAAAAACCTTTCGTCGTGATCTGATCATGACTCGAAGAGGGCGAAGGTTTCAGGTCGTAAGGCTGCCCTCCAGAACGCTCTCGGCAAGGCGCAACCTCCGAGAACCGGCGAACGCTTGAAAACCCGTTGCGTCATCCTCGCTGTCGTCTGTCGCGCGGCGGCCTGCGTCTTCATCGTCGTCCTGCGTACTCCTCGTCCTCGTCATCCTCGTCGTCATCCTGCGTCTTCGTGGTTGTCGGCGTTGTCGTCCTCGGCGTCGTTTGTCGTGACCGTACCTCTCGTCGTCGGTGATGTCGTCCGCGGCGTCGTCTGTCGTGATCGTCGTCGTCCTGGGTTTTCCTCGTCGTCGTCGCCGTCGTCGCCGTCGCCGTCGTCTCCGCCGCCGCCGCCGTCTCCGCCGTCGTCGTCGCCGTCGTCGTCTCCGCCGCCGCCGCCGTCTCCGCCGTCGTCGTCGTCGTCGTCGTCGTCGTCGTCGTCGTCGTCGTCGTCGTCGTCGTCGTCGTCGTCGTCGTCGTCTGGTCGCGCGGCGGCCTCGTGAGGCTCCGCAGCCTCCGGATACCGCGCCCCTCGCCAGGGTGGCCTGGCCCCATGCCGTCCTCCTGCGGGCGGGCCGGGGGAGGCGCGGCCGGGACGCGGGAGGGCGTCGACGACGACGGCACCACTGCGGCGACGGCCGAGGCGAGAGAGAGGGGGAGGGAGGGGGAGGGGGAGGGAAGGGGAGGGAGGGAGCGGGGTGGAGCAGGGGGAGGAGCAGGAGGAGGAGCAGGAGGAGGAGGAGGAGGAGGAGGAGGAGGAGGAGGAGAAACACCAAGGAGGGGGACGCAAGGGGGATGGAGGGGAGGGGAGAGAGGTGGGAGTGGGTCGCCAACCTGCGGGGAGGGGGCGGATGGAGGAGGGGGAGGAGGGAAGTACGAGGGAGGTGGGAGGGGCGAGGAAGGAGGGGGAAGAGATGAGGGGAGAGAGAGGGGAGAGGGAGGGAGGGAAGAGTCAAACGGTGG